TCCCTCCCTCTTTATTCCCTTTTTTCTGTATTGTCATTTAGCTATGTGTCATTTAGCTTTTTGGGGCTTTTTAAGTCCCTTTTGCTGTGTTTTTCAGTGTTTTTATGAGTGAAGGACATACATTGGGTTGTTAAACGTATTGTGTCCAAATTTGGTGTCATTTCCCCCAGTGGTTTTTGAGTTCTGTTAATCCCACAAACAAACATTACATTTTTATTTATATGTAGATTGAGTTCTGTTAATCCCACACATTACATTTATATCTATATAGATTGACCATTACAAACCCCATATTTCACCTGGAGCATGCCCATCCTTTTAAGTCCCATAAGGGTGGAAAAGTTGGGAGAGAAATCAATGCATCCAATGAAACATTGTTATGGATGAAACATTAAATGTCAGGAGAGAATGCTTCTGGAACATGGCCATACAGCCCGGAAAACTCACAGCAATTCCAGCCAAGAAAGCCTTTGACAACACATAAACATTGAACAGATTCACAGTGCCACCTAGTGGCAAAGAGCAGCTGCAGTCATAGATTCTCAGAATTGGAAGGGCCCTCCAAAGGCCATCTAGTCCAACTTCCTTTTCAACACAGAATCTCCAGGAAAAGTATCTCCAGCAGGGAGCTCCCTTGCCTTTTTGAAGAGACATCCGGAGAAGGAAACCATGGTATTGTCAATTATTTTAATAGTTTGATGTGGTTTATAAATTAATTGTTTTTAACAATTCAATGTTCAATTCCCTTTAATGTTTATATGTTGTGGGTTTTAAACTGGAATGAGTGGTTTTTAGTGTTGAGAGCTGTTTTGAGTCTCACTGATGAGAGGAAAGAGGGATATAAATATAATAATAATAATAATAATAATAATAATAATAATAATAATAATGTTTTGTCGAAGGCTTTCATGGCTGGAATCACTAGGTTCTTGTGGGTTTTTTTCGGGCTATAGAGCCATGTTCTAGAGGCATTTCTCCTGACGTTTCGCCTGCATCTATGGCAAGCATCCTCAGAGGTTGAGAAGGATCTTCTCAACCTCTGAGGATGCTTGCCATAGATGCAGGCGAAACGTCAGGAGAAATGCCTCTAGAACATGGCTCTATAGCCCGAAAAAACCCACAAGAACCTAATAATAATAATAATGGGATTAGGTCAAGCATGACCAATACTGTCAGGGATATTGCCATACTTGTTAACTGCTTTTAGTCTCATTGATGATAGGAAAGTAGGATATAGTGTAATAATAATAATAATAATATTGTACTAAGACTCTGGCACAAGCCCGTCAAAGAGGTCCCAGTGGTGATTAGCACACTGGGTGCAGTGCCTAAAGACCTTGGCCTGCACTTAAACACAATCAGCGCTGACAAAATTACCATCTGCCAGTTGCAAAGGTCACCTTACTGGGATCTGCACCCATTATTCACCGATACATCACACAGTCCTAGACACTTGGGAAGTGTCCGACGTGTGATCCAATACAACAACCAGCAGAGTGATCTTGTTTGCTGTGCACTCATCTTGTTGTGTTTCAAATAGCAGTAGTAATAATAATAATAATAATAATAATAATAATAATAGACAACAACACCTCTCTGGGCAATAGAATATATTGTATTATTATTATTATTATTATTATTATTATTATTATTGTATCAACAACAACTCCTCTCTGGGCAATTGGGTCAAGAATGACCACTCCTTATCAGGGATACTGGAACTGTTGTGAGCTGCTTTGAGTTTCATTGATTAGACAAAAGTGGGATATAAATATAAATATAATAATAATAATAATGTCAGCGACAGATCCCAAGTGTAGACTCTGCAAGGAAGCAGATGAAACGATAGATCACATCCTGAGCTGCTGCAAGAAGATCTCGCAGAGAGACTCCAAGCAGAGGCACAACACCCTTGCTCAGATGATTCATTGGAACTTGTGCCACAAATACCATCTGCCTGCGACACAGAACTGGTGGGATCACAAGTCGGAAAAAGTTACAGAAAATGAGCACATCAAACTCCTCTGGGACATCCGAATTCAGACTGACAGAGTTCTGGAGCACAATACTCCTGACCTCACAATTGTGTTAAAAAACGAAGTATGGATTGTTGATGTCACAATCCCAGGTGACAGCAGGATTGAAGAGAAACAACTGGAAAAGCTGACACGATATGAGGATTTAAAGATCAAACTGCAAAGAATCTGGCACAAGCCAGTCAAGGTGGTCCCAGTGGTGATTGGCACACCGGGTGCAGTGCCTAAAGACCTTGGCTTGCACTTAAACACAATCGGCGCTGACAAGATTACCATCTGCCAGCTGCAGAAGGCCACCCTACCCGGATCTGCACACATCATTTGCTGATACATCACACAGTCCTAGACCCTTGGGAAGCGTCCGACGTGTGATCCAATACAACAGCCAGCAGAGTGATCTTATATGCTGTGGACTCATCTTGTTGTGTTTCAAATAATAATAATAATAATAATAATAATAATAATAATAATAATAATAATAATAATAAACAACAATTGACAACAACACCTCTCTGGGCAATAGGATATATTGTATTATTATTATTATTATTATTATTATTATTATTATTATTATTATATCAACAACAACACCACCACCACCACCACCACCTCCTCTCTGGGTAGTTGGGTCAAGAATGACCACTCCTTATCAGGGATATTGGAACTGTTGTGAGCTGCTTTGAGTTTCATTGATCAGACAAAAGTGGGATATAAATAAATAAATAAATAGTAATAAAGTCGAGGACAGATCCCAAGTGTAGACTCTGCAAGGAAGCAGATGAAACAATAGATCCCATCCTCAGCTGCTGCAAGAAGATTGTGCAGACAGACTACAAGCAGAGGCACAACACCCTTGCTCAGATGATTCACTGGAACTTGTGCCACAAAGAACTAGTGGGATCACAAGCCAGAAGTTACAGAGAATGAGCACGTCAAACACCTCTGGGACTTCCAAATTCAGACTGACAGAGTTTTGGAACTTTTTAAGTCTCTTCTTCTGTGTTTTTCAATGTTTTGTGACTGATGGTCTCTTGTTGGCCTGAGAGGTGTCTTGTGTCCAAATTTGGTGTCAATTTGCCCAGTGGTTTTTGAGTTATGTTAATCCCACAAACGAACATTACATTTTTATTTATATAGATATGCTAAATTCTATTATTTTTCTATTTTCTGTATAAGTGGGATATTTGTTGAGCTTATAAAGTGTTCCCTCACTTATCGCGGGTGTTACGTTCCAGGACCACCCGTGATAAATAAAAATCCACAAAGGAGGGACGCTCCTCTTTCCCTCCCCTCCTCCTTCCCCGCAAAATGTGTCCGTGGAAAGCGAACCGTGAAGTAGCGAGGGAACACTGTATTGTGCAAATGCTTAGAAATCCTGCTATGGCTTATTTTACGGAAATGTCTTATTTTGGGGAAAACAGGGTAGCAAGAAAGACAAAAGTATGTATAGTTGTTAGGTTGTTGTAGGTTTTTCGGGCAATATGGCCATGTTCTAGAGGAATTCTCTCCTGATGTTTCACCTGCATCTATGGCAAGCATCCTCAGAGGTAGTGAGGTCTGTTGGAACTAGGAAAAAGGCTTTATATATCTGTGGAATGACCAGGGTGGGACAAAGGACTCTTGTCTGCTGGAGCCAGGTGTGAATCTTTCCACTGACCACCTTGATGAGCATTTGATGGCCTGGCAGTGCCTGGGAAAATCTTGTTGAGAGGTGATTAGATGTCCTTGTTTGTTTCCTCTCTGTTGTTGTGCTATTGTAATTTTAGAGATGTTTAATACTGGTAGCCAGATTTTGTTCCTTTTCATGGTTTCCTCCTTTCTGTTGAAATTGTCCACATGCTTGTGGATTTCAATGGCTTCTCTGTGGTCTGACATGTTGGTTGTGAGCCTGGGGAAATCTTTTGTTGAGAGGTGTTAAGATAAGAACATGAAAGGCACTGCAGACTACTTCAACCAGAGAAGTCAGCCATAGCAGAGCACCTGATGAACCAACCTGGACACAGCATATTATTTGAGAACACAGAAATGCTGGACCACTCTCACAACCACCATGTCAGACTACACAGAGAAGCCACTGAAATCCACAAGAAGCATGTGGACAATTTCAACAGAAAGGAGGAAACCATGAAAATGAACAAAATCTGGCTACCAGTATTAAAAAAACTAAAATTACAACAGCAAAACAACAGAGAGGAAACAAACAAGGACATGTAATCACCTCTCAACAAAAGATTGCCTCAGGCACTGCCAGGCCATCAAATGCTAATCAAGGTGGTCAGTTGAAACATTCCCACCTAGCTCCAACAGACAAGAGTCCTTTGTCCCACCCTGGTCATTCCACAGCTATATATGTCAGGATTATTGAAGGTATGCATTTATGTTTTTTCAATGTGTTTCTATATGATTATGAATGGATTAATGCGTATTCAAGATGGATTCTGTTATGTTCAATTGTGTATTGGAATTGTTGTTGTAAGAGACAGAGAGGTAGAGAGAAAAGACCTTGACAGAAGTTAGATAACAAGTTTCTCTGGCTGGGAAGAAATGGGGAGTATCCGGCTTACAGCCAGAGAGCCTGATAAGCAGCTGTCCTGAAACTGTACTGAAGCTGTGCTTTGTAGTTCCTGATGTAAGCTCGCTTAGAAGTAGACGTGTTGAGATGTACTTAGTAAACTTTGTTATTTTGAAACTGGAAGACTGCAGTGTCTTGATTTGTGTCTGTGTGATCTAGTAACCTCTTCGAATAGCCCCCCGAATTTTTACTCTGATAATCTAAACCCACTTTCCTAGTTCCAACAGACCTCACTACCTCTGAGGATGCTTGCCAGAGACGCAGGCGAAACGTCAGGAGAGAATGCCTCTAAAACATGGCCATATAGCCTGAAAAAACCTGCAACAACCCAGTGATTCCAGCCATGAAAGCCTTCAACAATACATGTATAGTTGTTTCACACGACGTCCATATAATTTATTCACCTCTTTTATTTGGCTCACAAGGAATTTAGCTGATCACGCCATCTTTTGAAGCAACCGCCTTGAGAAAAAACAAAACAAAATTAAATTAACCATCCCCAATGCTCCATGGATTCTGCAGCGTACGTAATGCTTCAGGCTGTCATTGGGAAAATCCAACACAATTTCCTCATTTGGACAGGAAGCACAACCTCCAAATGTTTTGTACATCGGGAGAGAACCACGCAGCTCTCCGGGTGTTGCTGAACTGCAACTCCCAGTATTCTTCGCCACAGGATATTGGGACTTGCAGCGCAGCAGCATCTGGAGATGGTCCAATTCCCGGATTTGGATGTGCCCAAAAATCCAGGACGTCGCCCCAATGTCCTGCCACCATTTCGAAAGAAACTCATGCTTCTTGAAAACTGGGTGCTCATGTTGCGGCCAGCGCAACCGTTGAAAGGCGGCAGAAAGAGTTCTGAGAAACAAACCTTGCGGCTCCAACTGAAGGAGTGGCGTCCTAAAAAACAACGACCCGCAACTCTGAAAGGATGACGGGCTTTCCATACTCAAGAAAGGGGCTCTTCATTGCTTTTTATCTCAGATGGAGATGGACAGAAAGGACATTATTGTTGCCTTAACTGGCTACTTCCCTAGAAGCAGAAAGAGCAGCAGGTTCAATTGAGTCTGAGGGTCAGGAGGAAGGCAAAAGTGGGGAGGGGGAGGTACCAGGACACACAATCCTAGTGTCTTAAGGTCTCTGCTAGCACTTGGGTTCCTGGCTCTCACCCAAAATGTCAACGCAACCCTCCGGTACCAATGGAGGGTCCTCAGGAACCAAATTTGAGGTGGGTCTCTCAAGATCTTCAAGATGTTCTTCAGACAGGAGTGACGAAGGGACTCCAGAACTGATCTCTCTTTGGGCAGACTGTTTTGGGAGAATATCTCTGTCAGGAAGGTCCTCCTGGGACAGATATGGGGGCTCTTCTGAGCTGCTGAATGAGTTCCCCCCCAAAGGCAGTTCCCACTGAACAGAGACATGGCTGCTTTCTGCAGCTGAGACAGATGTTTGTGCTTCCTCCAAGGGAGAAGGATCTAGAAGGGGATTCTCTTCCCATTCTCCTCCTATGCTGTGGCCGCACTGTTGCAGGTCTCCCCCTTCTGGGAAGGCCCAGTTGGGGTCTCCTGGGCCTTCTCTGGGGGTCTCCCCAGCTTCTGAAGTCCTGCTATCATCAGAGTCTTCTGTGCTGCTCTGAGCAACCGGGTCTTCCTCCTCTGGGACGGGATTTCCCCCCATCGCTGGACCAGGGTCTGCAACCCGGGGGCTACCTGAGCTTGCGGGGTTGGCCAAGGGCTGGACCGGCTGGTGGCAGAGTGGGCAGGTGTCCTGGACGTAGAACCACTTGCGCAAGCAGGGCCCGTGGAAGAAGTGGCCGCACTGCATGACCACAGCCAGGGTCATCTCCTGCAAGGGGCAGAGAAGGCAGGGAGGGAAAGGAATACAAAGGCAGGCTCAACAACACAAATCAACAGAGTGATGCGCTGATAAAAAAATGCCAATGCTGTTCTACCTAAATGAATGTCAACAGTGGTAAATATACACTCAAGCAATAAAAATGCACAGATATAGGATGGGTGAAGCCTTGAATGAAAACAGTCCAAGGGAAAGGGATCTATGAGTCTTAGTAGACCACAAGCTGAACATGAGCCAACAGTGTGATATGGCAGCTCAAAAGGGCAATGTGATTCTAGGTTGCATCCAGAGGAGAATCGTGTCTAAATGGAGGGAAATCATAGTCCCACTCTAGTCTGCTTTCGTCAGACCTCACATGGAATAATCCAGTGGCCAATTCTGGGCAAAGCATTTCAAGAAGGAGATGGACAAGACAGAAAGTGTCCAGAGAAGAGCCGCAAAAATGGCTTAAGCCCTGAAAGTCTTTTTAGGAATGGCTTAAGGAAATGGGTATGTTCAGCTTGGAGAAAAAGAAGGTTGGCTTTTTTAGCTGCTGTATCACATCATCAACCCATGTTCAGCTTGTGGCCTATTAAGACTCCTTCCCCCATGTATTGTTTTCAAGCCAGGTGTCCTCCATCCTATGTCTGTGCATTTCATTTCCCCCCTAATAATATTAACAACAGCAACAACACTATGTAACAAAATATGAAAAGTATTCTGTTCTGTTAGAAAGTGTTATTTCCTATTTAATTGTGCAGTACATACATTGAAAGTAGTTGTTATACTCCAGAAACTTTGTTTTTGTGGCTGCCATTTTAAACCTTTCAATGTGCCATTTTCCCCCAACCTAATAATAATTACAACAACAGCAACACTGTGTAACAAAATTTGAAAAAAAAATCTGTTCCTGGTTCAAAAGCATTATTTCCTGTTTAACTGTGCAGGACGTACTTTGAAAGTAGTTGTTCTACTCCACAAACCTTTCAATGTGTTATTTTTAACCTTTCGTGTACTATTTTTAACCTCTGGTGCAGACCACAAAAACGTAAGTTTTTGGAGTTTAATAAACTCTCCCCATGTTTTTATAATAGAACCAATTAGGAAATTAGATTTATAACCCAGGAACAAAAATCATGTTACATATCATGTAACAACAACAACATATTTAATACCCGTCTCTCCTTGTGGCTCAATATGACGAAACTCTAAATGGTCTGGGACCTCTAAATGGTTCAGTATCTGCCTATCTTCGAGACTACATCTTCCCTTACGAACCCACACAATCTCTTAAGATAATATAATAATTGTGACGGCGCGAGTGGCGCCACCCATGTATAGAACTGTTAGTTGTAAGATTTAAACTGTTGTATCATGCTTAATCCTGCCCCTTTTTGCCATGTTTCTGTATATTTGTATGGATTGGTTACTTGTAGCTGTCAATCAGCACTGTTTGGCTCCACCTCTTCCTGCAAGAGGGGAGAACTTCCTTTTCTTTTCATTCTGCCATGAGAGTTCCTGCAACATGGACGTGAGTAAGAGACTTCATTCTTAAAGGACCCTGTTTTAAGTCACCTCTTAGCAACAATTCTGAAGTTTTTTACCCCTGGGACTCATGCTTTATGTCCAGATCATCCTGGACGGATACTGAGGAGACCCAGGCGCCTTCAAGCCAGTTCTTTTGGCACCAGAGGAAGATCCTGAATCTTCAAAATAGGCCATCTGAACTGGGGTTGTGGTTTGCTACGGCATTCACAACCATTGAGGAAAGAGGAAACCTGGTGAGGCTTCTCAGCTTCAAACCCCTTGGACCCAGGACTAATAGAGACTGTAAAGTGTGTTTTTCCTTCACCCCTCTAAAGTTTTCCAGTTCATTGCATTGAAGAAATGACTTTGTGACAAATAAAACTTGTTTTGAGTTATTTACATCGTTTTGGGTTCTTGGGAGTTCCAGTTTCCTAAAGGAGGGCAAGAAGCAATCCCTTGGGGAAAGATGCCACGTCCATCCTCCTTTTAAGACTAATAGCCCCCAAGCGCGACGGCACAATAATAATAAAACTTTATTTGTACCCCGCTACCATCTCCCCAAGGGACTCGGTGCGGCTTACATGAGGCCGAGCCCACAATACAACAACAAAAACAATAGCAATAGTAATACAAACAATAAATAAACTCATAAACCGAAAATAGCAATAAACATTAACAGTAACACAGCGACGTTTAAAAAACTATGGCAGGGTCAGATGTACTAATTAAAACTTTTTAAAAATAATGCTGGGCGTGACCAGGTGACATATAAACAGGATAGAAATTTAGGAGAGGGATAGAGCGTGCAGACAATCCTAGATCACTAAAAAGAGCATTTAGGGACATATTGCTGGGAGTTTCCTTATTCTGGGAAGGCACACTGGAACAACCACGCTTTCAGGCTCCTCCTAAAGACTGCCAGCGTTGGGGCATGTCTGATGTCCCTGGGGAGTGAGTTCCAGAGTCGAGGGGCCACCACCGAGAAGGCCCTGTCCCTCGCCCCCACCAGTCGCGCTTGTGATGGAGGCGAGAGCATGAGCAGGACCTCTCCAGGTGATCGAAGAGATCATGTGGGTTCGTACACAGTGATGCGGTCACGCAGGTAGGCAGGTCCAAAACCGTTTAGGGCTTTGTAGGTAAGCACCTGCACCTTGAATTGGGACCGGAAAATGAACGGCAGCCAATGGAGCTCCTTAAACAGGAGGGTTGACCACTCCCTGTAAGGAGCACCAGTTAACAACCTGGCTGCAACTCGTTGGACCAATTGAAATTTCCGGGCCGTTTTCAAGGGTAGCCCCACGTACAGCGCATTACAGTAATCCAATCTGGAGGTGACTAAGGCATGGACCACCCTGGGCGGATCCGCCTTCATGAGGTATCGTCGCAGATCTTCTGGAGAAGCCCTTCTTTTGCTTCCACCTTCGTCACAGGTGTGGTTGGTGGGGAGAGGGTCTTATCGGTTGTCACCCCTCCCCCTCCGGCTCTGGAATGCCCTCCCCAGGGAGATCAGACTAGCACCCTCCCTATCCACTTTTTGCAAAGATCTAAAGACGCGGATGTTCTGCTGTGCATTTGTCTAAACAATTCCCTTGATAACTGGACCCAGTTAGGACCCAAAAAAATTTCTGGCCACGCACTTTACTACTGTTGTATCCAAAGTTAGAATGATCCTTCCTATATTGATCTTATCCTTAATGCTGCTATATGACCTATACACTTTACTCATTAATCCTATCCTCTGAATTGCTGTGCACCAGTCCACCCAAAAACATTGAGACTTGAGTTATGCTATTATTGTTGCTTTTGATGCTTGTTTTAAATTTTGTTATAAAGTTTTATGTTGTTTTAAATTGATATTATGCATTCTAATGTGGCTTGGCCCCATGTAAACTGCCCTGAGTCCCTTTGGGGAGATGGAGGCGGGGTATAAAAATAAAGTTGTTATTATTAAACTTGCTTTGTTAGAAGGGATGGTCAAGGCACAAGGAGAAAAGGATGGGATTGTGCTAAACCCTGGTGGGCACTCACCTGGAAGCAAATGGCGCAGACGTCGTCGTGGTGCCGCAGCTGCTCTTGGGTGGCCACTGGCAACAAACCAATCTTCTTGGCAGCCTCCCGGCGAAGAAGGAAGCTCCTCCACCCCGACTGGGCCCTCAGCCAGACGTTGAAGTAGCAGTGGATGATGATGACCGAGGCCCCCATCCAGCTCCACTCCCCAAAGATGGACTCCCAGGAGCCGTAGGCCACCACGCAGAGGGCCACCAGGAACTCCAGGACCCGGCTGACAGCGTTGACATAGTAGATGATCTCGTCCATCCTCTCCATTGGCGTGTCTTGGAAGAGCTCCACAATAAAGAGGCCGTAGATGAAGAGGGTCCCCATCACCTGAATCATAGAATCATAGAATCAAAGAGTTGGAAGAGACCTCATGAGCCATCCAGTCCAACCCCATTCTGCCAAGAAGCAGGAATATTGCATTCAAATCACCCCTGACAGATGGCCACCAAGCCTCTGTTTCAAAGCTTCCAAAGAAGGAGCCTCCACCACACTCCGGGGCAGAGAGTTCCACTGCTGAACAATTCTCACAGTCAGGAAGTTCTTCTTCAAGTTCAGATGGAATCTCCTCTCTTGTAGTTTGAAGCCATTGTTCCATTGCGTCCTAGTCTCCAAGGAAGCAGAAAACAAGCTTGCTCCCTCCTTCCTGTAACTTCCCTTCATATATTTATACATGGCTACCATGTCTCATCTCAGGCTCTCTTCTGCAGGCTAAACATGCCCAGATCTTTAAGCCGCTCTTCATAGGGCTTGTTCTTCAGACTCTTGATCATTTGAGTCACTCTCCCATGGACACATTTCAGCTTGTCAATAACTCTCGTGAATTGTGGTGAGAAGTGAAAGAGTGGGGCGCTATAGGGAATGCAGTCCTCTCTCCCAACATATTGGAAAATCTGCCATCTGAGGCACATTGCCTCAAAAGATGGAGGTTCCATTCCATTCTACACTGCACACTGCCATGCCTCCTCAATGGGATTGCCATGGCTCAATGGAATCCTGGGAACTGTAGTTTGATGAGCTCCTAGCATTCTTTGGCAGAGAAATAAGACAACTCCTAAGACTCCACTTGATTGAGAAATCACCATTACAGTGGTCGAACTACATTTATTCAATCATGTATAACACCATGTAACAGTTTTTTTGTTCCTGTATTATAAATATCATTTCCTAATTGGATCTATAATCAAAACATGGAAAAGCTTATTAAATTGCAAAAACTTTGCTTTTACAGGACAGATATCCTTCTATAGTCGGATCTGGCCACAGTGGTCCACGCTCTTGTTACATCCCGATTAGATTACTGCAACGCGCTTTATGTGGGGTTGCCTTTGAAGACTGTTCGGAAACTTCAATTAGTCCAGCGGGAGGCAGCCAGAGTACTCACCGGAGCGCCACACAGGGAGCATACCACCCCTCTGTTATGTCAGCTCCACTGGCTGCCGAGCACAATTCAAAATGCTGGTTTTGACCTACAAAACCCTATATGGTTCCGGCCCAGCGTAACTGTCCGAACGGATCTCCCTCTATGTTCCACCTCGGAGTTTAAGATCTTCTGGGAAGGCCCTGCTCTTGACCCCGCCTCTATCACAAGTGAGACTGGCGGGGACGAGGAGCAAGGCCTTCTCGGTGGTGGCCCCTCACCTGTGGAATTCACTCCCTGGGGAAGTTAGATCAGCGACATCCCTCCTTTCCTTTAGAAGGAAATTAAAGACATGGATTTGGGACCAGGAGTTTGGGCAACCTGGCAGATAAATAAAGGACTACGACGACTGATAGGAATAGACAATGTAGAATGAAGTATGGACTCTGAAATGTCGAACGCGGAGCTTGAGAATGGTTTACTGACTGTGATATATATTGATTGTTTTAACTGTTATAACTGTTTAATTGCTGTTTTCATAGGTTTATCTGTATTATTATGTAGGCATCGAATTGTGCCTTTTTTGTAAGCCACCCTGAGTCCCCCCTTGGGGGTTGAGAAGGGCGGGGTAGAAGTACACGAAATAAATAAATAAATAAATAATAGTACATTTTGTGATAGTTTTTCAATGAATATCTCATTGAGTCTCAACCAATTCAACATAGGTTGTTGTAGGTTTTGTCAGGCTATATGGCCATGTTCTAGAGGCATTTTCTCCTGACGTTTTGCCTGCATCTATGGCAAGCATCCTCAGAGGTAGTGAGGTCTGTTGGAACTAGGAAAAGGGATTTATATATCTGTGGAATAACCAGGGTAGGACAAAGGACTCTTGTCTGCTGGAGCTAGGTGTGAATGTTTCAACTGACCACCTTGATTAGCATTTGATAGCCCGGCAGTGCCTGGAGCAATCTTTTGTTGAGAGGTGATTAGATGTACCTGATTGTTTCTTCTCTGTTGTTTTGCTGTTGTAATTTTAGATTTTTTTAATACTGGTAGCCAGATTTTGTTCATTTTCATGGTTTCCTCCTTTCTGTTGAAATTGTCCACATGCTTGTGGATCTCAATGGCTTCTCTGTGTAGTCTGACATGGTGGTTGTTGGAGTGGTCCAGCATTTCTGTGTTCTCAAATAATATGCTGTGTCCAGGTTGGTTCATCAGGTGCTCTGCTATGGCTGACTCCTCTGGCTGAAGTAGTCTGCAGTGCCTTTCATGTTCATTGATTCGTGTTTGGGCAATGCTGCTGTGTTTGATGGTCCCTATGTAGCATTTGACAGCCCTGCCAGGCTATTAGATGCTAATCAAGTTGGTCAGTTGAAACAGTCACACCTAGCTCCGGCAGACAAGAGTTCTTTGTCCCACCCTGGTCTTTCCACAGATATATAAACCCTTTTTCTTAGTTCCAACAGACCTCACAACCTCTGAGGATGCTTGCCATAGATGCAGGCGAAACGTCAGGAGAGAATGCCTCTAGAACATGGCCATATAGCCCGAAAAAACCTACAACAACCCAATTACAAGATAATATAGAAACAGTTGGTCAACAAAGCTTGAGATCGAAGCTGCTTTCTTGTTTTCATACCCTATTCTTTCCATGCTATTTCTGATTTTGAGCTTTATAGGAAGCTGAGAGTTTTTGGGAGTTCCCATGAGGCAGGGCAAGGGAAAAGTCAAGGTACCTGCAGGGAGGTCAGCATGCAGCTGGAGATGAGGATCAGGAGCCAGAAGTCCATGTGGAAGAAGTGGGCGATCTTGTAGGCCATGAAGCCAGGGAAGACCAGTAAGAAGAGGCACATGCTGACTCCGCGGAAGTGCTTCCAGAGGCTCCTGCAAGAGGGACAGGGAGAGCATCCATAAGGCCCCAGGGCATATGTTCCTAGTGTTGGTGGGTAATTTCAAAAAAGGGGGAAAGCATTTAAAATGTAAAGCAGCAGCAGTTTCAGCAGATCAGACGCTTCTTGAACCAGCAGTAGAGCAAATGATCTCCAGCAATTACAGGGGCAGTGTTGGAGTTCAGCCTGTGATTGTGTTTCAGGATCAGGGTGCTTTGGATGTGATGCCAATGAATTTCAAGATGGCAATGGTTTGGTTATGATACTGATGCAGAGAAGGACCAGGAGACCCATGTGCAAAGTGTGGCCAGAATACCCTCATCAAAAAGCTGGAATGTTAAATATCCTCTGTGTGTCTGTCTATATATGTTGTGTGTCTACGGCATTGAATGTTTGCCATGTTTATGTACATTGTAATCCGCCCTGAGTCCCCTGCGGGGCGAGAAGGGTGGAATATAAATACTGTAAATAAATAAATAAAGAATCTAATGTTTTATCTCTTGCATAATGTTGTTGTAATGTACTTCATATGTTGTCGGCATTGAATTGCTGCCGTTGTAAGCCGCCCTGAGTTCCCCTTCGGGGGTTGAGAAGGACGGGGAAGAAATGATAGAAATACATAAATAATGCCTCACTGGTATGCCTCTATCCCTATGAAGAGGACCAAGGGCAAAACACAAAGGTCTCTCTCTGCAACATGGCTCCCAGTTCTCCCAGGCGCAAAGGGTCACCTGTTCCGGGAAGCCCCCAGCCCCAGCAGGACGGGGTCTGCGATTTCAATCATGGACTGCAAGGTGGATGTCACCACGATGAAGAGGATGATGCTGAGCAGGAAGGTCCTCTGGAGGAGCTGCAGGTCCAGGAGGCCGGTCTGGAGGGCCAGCAGCAGCAGCGTCACTCCCTCGGTCACACCTCTGCAAGGCAGGAAAGAGACGCTGGAGGTCAACCACACTCTGCACAGGTTTATAGTCCTCAGTAAGGAAACAGATAGGCTGAGGAGTTAACTGGCAGGGAAAGCCCTTCCCTCATTGTCCCCTTTGTCTGCCTCTCTCTAGTCTCTCCTCCTATTCGTGATTGTTAGACTGATACTCCTCTTTATTCAAAGTCCTTGAGGCCCCTTCTACACTGCCATATACGACAGATTATTAAAGCAGGTGTTCCACATTGGGTTATTGTAGGTTTTTTCGGGCTATATGGCCATGGTCTAGAGGCATTCTCTCCTGACGCTTCACCTGCATCTATGGCAAGCATCCTCAGAGGTAGTGAACTGGGTTTTATGACACCCCTTCTAGGCTGCCATATTAAATCCAGGCTATCCGCTTTGAACTGGATTATATGGCAGTGTAGACTCATAAAATCCAATTATAATGTGGATTATCTGCTTTCATAATCTGAATCCAGACAAGTCCTCCTGGTCAGTCACAAGGCCGAACAGGGTATAGGGTCAGAACCTGTGCTGGATGGGGTCACACTCCCCTTGAAGGCCCAGGTTCATAGCTTGGGGGTCCTCCTGGACTCATCACTGAGCCTGGAATCTCAGATTGCAGCGGTGGGCAAGGAAACGTTCGCACAATTAAAACTTGTGCGCCAGCTGCGTCCGTATCTTGGGAAGTCAGACTTGGCCACGGTGGTCCACACTCCCGTTACACCTAGGAAAGACTACTGCAACACAGTCTACGTGGGGCTGCCTTTGAAGACTGCTCGGAAGCTTCAAATAGTCCAACGGTTAATAACTGGGGCGGCATACAAGGAGCATACAACTCCCATGTTACGCCAGCTCCACTGGCTGCCAGTTTGCTACCGGGCACAATTCAAAGTGCTGGCTTTGGACTATAAAGCCCAAAATGGCCCCAGCCCAATTTACCTGTCCGAACGCATCTCCTCCTATGAACCATCGCGGAGATTAAGATCCTCCGGGGAGGCCCTGCTTTCCGTCCTGCCATTGTCACAGGCATGATTGGTGGAGACGAGAGACAGGGCCTTCTCGGTGATTGCTCCCCAGCTCTGGAACTCCCTTTCCACAGCTGCATGGTACACGGTAGACTCCTGCAGAAGTGAGAGGATCCCTCTTGTCCTTTGCTGAATGTAGCATTTGTTGGATTTTCTTGGTGGGTTTGGAGATAGTTTGTATGTTGTGTTTCCTCATGAACCCCACCTCCTCCAAGATGAACTGAACCACCTAAACTGGGCTCTATAGGTCAATGGAGACTCCACCTCAGACATCAGAAGAGTTGCAATACTGAGGAGACTCACTTCTGCAGGAGTCTACCATATCCCATGCAGCTATGGACAAGTCTACATAGGGACTACCAAACGCAGCATTGCCCAAACACGCATCAAGGAACACGAAAGGCACTGCAGACTACTTCAACCAGAGAAGTCAGCCATAGCAGAGCACCTGATGAACCAACCTGGACACAGCATATCATTTGAGAACACAGAAATGCTGGACCACTCTCACAACCACCATGTCAGGCTACACAGAGAAGCCACTGAAATCCACAAGTATGTGGACAATTTTAACAGAAAGGAGGAAACCATGAAAATGAACAAACTCTGGCTACCAGTATTAATCAACTCTAAAATTACAACTGCAAAACAACAGAGAGGAAACAAACAAGGACATCTAATCACCTCTCAACAAAAGTTTGCTCTAGGCACTGACAGGCCATTCAATGCTAATCAAGGTGGACAGTTGAAACATTCACACCTAGCTCCAGCAGACAAGAGTCCTTTGTCCCACCCTGGTCATTCCACAGATATATAAACCCTTTTTCCTAGATCCAACAGACCTCACTACCTCTGAGGATGCTTGCCATAGATGTAGGAGAAACGTCAGGAGAGAATGCCTCTAGACCATGGCCATATAGCCTGAAAAAAATCCTACAACAACCCAGTGAAACAAAATGGAGTTCTGAGTCTTCAATCACAGGTCTATAACCCCTCCCACACCAAAGAGGTCCCGTCAAACTGGCAAACCAAAATGTATATACAATACAGATTAACAATTATACACATTTACAAACAGTGAAGGCTTGGAAGGTTGCTATTTTGGGATCACAACCCACTTAGGAGCAAATGGGACACTGCCGCTCTCACCTGTGCATCACATTGCCGTTCTGAAAGGCGCCGTATCCGGCCAAGTAGAACTTGCAGAGCTTGAGGAGACCCAGGGCCAGGTAGGAGATGGTGAAGGTCAGCCCGACGAGCGAGTAGGGGGTGCTGCAGCACTCGGCCACGCTGAGGAGGGAAGGAAACGTCTGCTTAAAACCAAATACAATCATCTCATACTTTTGTCTATCCTGCTCCCCCAATACACTCAAAGACAAAGAGGAATGGCTCCGGGGATCTCTTCCAACTGAATAACCAAATTGCCATCTGATAGGGAGAATATGGGAAGATTAAAGTGTCCAAAAGATTATTTTGGTGGCCCTTCTCTGGACACATTCCAGCTTGTCCATATCTTCCTTGAATTGTTCTGCCCAGAACTGGACTGACAGTGATTCCAAGTGAGGTCTGACCAAAGAAGAACAGAGTGGGACTATGGTTCCCCTTCATATCAACACTACACTCCTATCAATGCAACCCGGAATCACAATGGCCTTTTTCGCTGCTGCATTACGCTGTTGGCTCATCATGGTCACCTTGTGGTCCATTAAGTCTTCCAGATCTCTTTCAAAGAAGAATAGAGGGAGACTATCATTACCCTCCATCTAGATCAGTGGTTCTCAACCTGGCCTTCAAATCCCAGAAATCCAAATGGCTGGTAAACTATCTGGGATTCTTGGGAGTTGTGGGCCAAAACACCTGGCGACTCACAGGTTGAGAACCACTGATCTAGACATTATCCTCCTATTAGGACCAGGCTGTGGTGCAGCTACTTAGTAGCCAGCTGCATTAAATCACTACTGACTGAGAGTTCAAAGCCAGGCCATGTTGGAGTGAGCTCCCAACCATTAATAGTCTAGCTTGCTGTTGACCTATGCAGCCCGAAAGTTGCATCTGTCAAGTCGGAAATTTAGGTACTACTTTATGTGGGTAGGCTAATTTAACTAATTTACAACAGCATAAAACTGTCCAGCAGCGTGCATAAGAATGAGGAAGGGCTTCATCAAGGACTCGGTGTCACAAGTGGACGGTGAAGCAGCAGCTCCCCCTGTGGCTGGAATCGAGCATACCCTCATATGAGAAGCTGGAAAGTTGGAATGTTAAATTGCCTCTGTGTCTGTCTATATATTTGTTTATTTATTTACTATACTTGTATACTGCTCCTCTCAGCCTGGAGGTGACTCGAGGCGGTTTACATTTGGCAATCAATGCCCCACAAGATAAAATACAGTCACAAACAATGACATATAGTATAAACCGTAGAAAAACAACAAAAAAGTAAACAATTAAAATCATAGAATACAGTTCTCAGCGTCTCATCATTAAAATCATTTTCCATGTTGTATGTCTAATGGCATTGAATGTTTGCCATGTATATGTGCATTGTAATCCGCCCTGAGTCCCCTTCGGGGTGAGAAGAGCGGAATATAAATACTGTAAATCTATATAAATAAAAATGTACTGTTAGTTTGTGGGATTAACATAACTCAAATATCACTGGACGAATTGATACCAAATTTGGACAAAATACACCTATCAGGCCAATGAGTGACCATCACTCATAAAAACACCGAAAAACACAACAGAAGGGACTTAAAAGCCAAAAAAAGCAAAAATATGCTACAGCACATGCGCAAAAACAACTCCCCCAGCAAACAAAACACACAATAGCATATCCACACTATCTTCTGGACTACAGCTCCCAGTATCCCCTAGACCAGGCCTTTTAGGAGGGGAGGAGGATCCAAATGCACTGCTCTCAAAATGCAAGCTTGCTTCTCCTTAGATTTCTTTGAGAGCCTCCCAATCCCTGCATATTTCCAACTTCCTATTCCTGGACTCCAACTCCCAGCAATCCTCCAGATAGATAGATTAGAGCAGTGGTTCTCAACCTTCCTAATGCCGTGACCCCTTAATACAGTCCCTCATGTTGTGGTGACTCCCAATATTGTTTTTGTTGCTACTTCGTAACAGTCATTATAAATCTGTTATAAATCATAATGTATTTACCCTGATATGCAGGATGCATTTTCATTCACTGGACCAAACTGGGCACAAAAACCCAATACACCCAAATGTGAATGCTAGTGAGGTTGGGGGAGGATTGATTTTGTAATTTGGGAGTTGTGGTTGCTGGGATTTATAGTTCACTTATAATCAAAGAGCATTCTGAACTCCACCAGCGATGGATTTGAATCAAACTTGGCTCCCATGACCAATGGAAAACACTGGAAGGATTTTATGGGCATTGACCTTGAGTTTGGGAGTTGTCGTTCACCTATATCCAGAGAGCACTGTGGACTCAAACAATGATGGATCTGGTCCAAACTTGGCATGAATACTCAATATGCCCAAATGTAAACACTGGTGGAGTCTGAGGAAACATTTGGGAGTTGTGGTTGCTGGGATTTATAGTTCATTGCAATCAAAGAACATTCTGAACCCCACCAACGATAGAATTGGGTCAAACTTCCCACAGGGAATCCCCATGGCCATCAGAAAATACTGTGTTTGCTTATGGTCTTTGGCGACCCCTCTGACACCCCCTTGCGACCCCCTCAGAGGTCCCGACCCCCAGGTTGAGAAACACTGGATTAGAGAAAGATAGACAGGTCAATAGATCGATCAGGAGGACTGCTGGGAGTTGCAGTCCAAGAATAGATAGAAAAGGAAGAATGGGAGAAAGAGGAAGGGAAAGAAAAGAGGGGAGAAAGGAACAGAAGAGGAAGAAAAGGAAAGAAGGAGAGAAAGAAAGGACAGAAAGAGGGAGGAAAGGTTGGCCACAGCAACGTGTGGCGGGTACAGCTAGTAAATAAATAAATATTGATGCAGCCTAGAATTGCATTGGCCTTTTTTTTTGGCTGCCACATCACACTGTTATGTTGAGCTTGTGGTCTACTAAGACAGGGTCTACACTGCTCTGTAATCCAGTTTCAGAATGTGGATGAACTGTATTGAAATGGACTATATTGGTCTAGACTGCTTTATAAAGCCAGATCAATGCAGTTAGAATAATAGAATCATACAATCCTAGAGTTGGAAGAGACCTCCTGGGCCATCCAGTCCAACCCCATTCTGCCAAGAAGCAGGAATATTGCATTCAAATCACCCCTGACAGATGGCCATCCAGCCTCTGTTTAAAAGCTTCCAAAGAAGGAGCCTCCACCACACTCCAGGGCAGAGAGTTCCACTGCTGAACAGCTCTCACACTCAGGAAGTTCTTCCTTGTGTTCAGATGGAATCCCCTTTCTTGTACTTTGAAGCCATTGTTCCATTGCGTCCTAGTCTCCAGGGAAGCAGAAAACAAGCTTTCTCCCTCCTCCTCCCTGTGGTTTCCTCTCACATATTTATACATGGCTATCATGTCTCAGCTGGACCTTAGGGAAGGCTGAGCGAAGGAAGATAGATGCTTTTGAACTGTGGTGTTGGTAGAAAGTTCTGAGTGTGCCTTGGACTGCGAGAAGATCCAACCAGTCCATCCTCCAGGAAAGAAAGCCCGGCTGCTCATTGGAGGGAAGGAGACTAGAGACAAAGTTGAAGTCCTTTGGCCACATCATGAGGAGACAGCAAAGCCTAGAGAAGGGAATGATGCTGGGGAAAGTGGAAGGAAAAAGGAAGAGGGGCCGACCAAGGACAAGATGGATGGATGGCATCCTTGAAGTGACTGGACTGACCTTGAAGGAGCTGGGGGTGGTGACGGCCGACAGGGAGCTCTGGCGTGGACTGGTCCATGAAGTCACGAAGAGTCGGAGACGACTGAACGAATGAACAACAACAACAACATCATGTCTCTTCTCAGCCTTCTCTTCTTCAGGCTAAACATGCCTAGCTCCTTAAGCCACTCCTCATAGGGCTTGTTCTCCAGATTATTTTAGTCGCCCTCCTCTGGACACATTCCAGCTTGTCAATATCTCTCTTGAATTGTGGTGCCCAGAATTGGACACAATATTCCAGGTCTGGTCTAACCAAAGCGGAATAGAGCACGGGGAGCATGAGTTCCCTAGATCTAGACACTAATCCACATCCCGACACTGGAGTATAGGGCATTGTGGATCCAGCCTTAGACTTCTGGATCCTTTTCAATGGACTATTGTCAGGCCAGGTGTCACCCATTCAATATCTCTGCTAACGTTTTTTGCACTTCTTCCTACAAGGCGTTGTGCTGGAATACCCTTGTACTGGCCTCCAAGTTTAAAATTCTAGGAATCAAGGGCAGGGGAAGGAGCTGCCTACTGCCCTCAACCCAACACATGGACTCTTCCCTTTCTGCTGCTTTTCTACCTGCTGAGGAGGACGAAGATCAGCCCCTGGTGAGACAGAAGGCTGCCAGAAGAAGAGGAGGCCAAGGCGTAGATCTGCAGGGTGAACAAGGCCAGCCAGAAGACCAGGAACAAAAGCGGGACGGCCAGCTGCTTCCAGAGCGACATGCCCAGCGTGACCAGATTGTATACTTCCAGCGCCTGGAACACAGAGAAAATAGCACACAGAGAACATGAGCATTAAGCAAGCTATACCTGCACTGAGAGGTATTTAGGGCCTAAATACCATCAAGGCACCAGATCCCACCTGATCTTAGAAACTAAGCAGGGTCAACCCTGGTTAGTAGTTGGGTGGGAGACCACCAACCAATATCGTGTGTTGTAGGCTCTATTTCAGAGGAAGGAACTGGCAAAGTCACCTCTATGGATCCCTTGCCTAAGGAATATCCTATCTGAACATGAGGAAGAACTTCTTGACTGTGAGAGCTGTTCAGCAGTGGAACTCTCTGCCCCGGAGTGTGGTGGAGGCTCCTTCTTTGGAAGCTTTTAAACAGGGGCTGGATGGCCATCTGTCAGGGGTGATTTGAATGCAATATTCCTGCTTCTTGGCAGAATGGGGTTGGACTGGATGGCCCATGAGGTCTCTTCCAACTCTTTGATTCTATGATTAATGGGATTATTGTAGGTTGACAGGAGATTATGCCGTTGTCTTGGTACATATAGTCTTTTAATGAATGTAAATACATTTCTGTGTCACTCCAGACTAGGAAAAGCCTTCTGACTTTAAACACCACACGGTTGAGTAGAAATGCAATCCATTTATTGAAGATAATTAAAAAACAGTAAAAGTAAAAAAGCACTGTAAAGGAATAGGTAAATCCAATTAGGCAGGAAGATAAACTGGAACAAAATAAACTAGGGAATTAGTCCATCAAAGTTCATGAAAAACCAAGGCAGAAACTTCTAAAATAAAATCCAAAAACCATGAAACATGAAGCCAAGGCAATTGAATACAAAATCATAAAATCCAAGGATCAAAACCATGAAACAAAGACACTTAAACATGAATCTTTTCCAAGCAAAGCTTCCAAGAAACAGGGACAAGATCTTGACATTATTCCAAACAATGTTTCATCTGACTACAGACCCTGTACTTAGAGGACTTTTATCTCCTCTTTAAGCTATGTCCTAAGGTCTCAGAAACTGGTTTCTCTTTAGCTTTGACTCTCTTATCTTTCTTTCTCTGAGCCTGGCAGAATGCCTGAGCCACTGTTTGGCTCTTCTGTTTTGACTAATCACATCCTGTCTATCTATTTCTTCATTAATTTCTGCAGCTGGGCCAGGTGCCGAGCTGTTCTCAAGCTCCAAATCCTGGGAATTCTCTGGTAGCAATTCAGGGACTAGGAAATTAGTCCATCAAAGTTCATGAAAAACAAAGGCAGAAACAAAGGCAGAAACTTCTATAGTAAAATCCAAAAACTGGAAACATGAATCCAAGGCACTTAACACATGAATCTTTCCAAAGCAAGGCTTCCAAGGAACATGAACGAGGTCTTGACTTGATTCCAAATGATGCTTCATCTGACTACAGATCCTGTACTTGGGACTTTTATCTCCTCATTACACTATGTCCCAAGCAGCCAAAAATGGGTTTCGTTTTAGCCTTGAATCCCTTATCATTCTTTCTTTGAGCCTGGCAGAACGTCTGAGAGACTGATCTGCTTTTCTATTTTGACTAATAACATCCCGTCTATCTATTTGCTCATTAATTTCTGCAGCTGGCCCAGGTGCTGAGCTGTTCTCAAGCTCTAAACCATGGGAATTCTCTGGTAACGTTTAGGGAATATGCCATCATTCCCACACCCTTCAGGAACATTCTCATGAGAAACTACACTTTGAACAGAGATCTCCTGGTCATTCTCTGCATCAATATCATTGGAAACACCATGACCCACATGAACCTCATTGTCATCATTCCCCACATCCAAAGTACCCTGATCCTGATACACCAGTGGTTCTCAACCTTCCTAATGCCGCGGCCCCTTAATACAGTTCCTCATGTTGTGGTGACCCCAACCATAACCCTAATATTATGAATCGCCATGTAAATAATGATCTGCAGGACTTATTTTCATTCACTGGAGCAAATATGGCACAAATACCCGGTATGCCCAAATTTGAATACTGGTGGGGTTGGTGGGGGGATTGATTTTGTCACTTGGGAGTTGTAGTTGCTGGGATTTATAGTTTACCTGTAAACAAAGAGCATTCTGAACCCCACCAACAATGGAATTGAACCAAAGTTGGCACACAGAACTCCCATGACCAACAGAAAATACTGGAAGGGTTTGGTGGGCATTGACCTTGAGTTTGGGAGTTGAAGTTCGCCTACATCCAGAGAGCATTGTGGGCTCATACAGTGATGGATCTGGACCAAACTTGGCACGAATACTCAATATGCCCAAATATGAACACAGATGGAGTTTGGGGAAAATAGACCTTGACATTTGGGAGCTGTAGTTACTGGGATTTATAGTTCACCTACAATCAAAAAGCATTCTGAACCCCATGAATGACACAATTGGGGCAAACTTCTCACACAGAACCCCCATGACCAACAGAAAATACTTAAGGCCATCCAGTCCAACTCCCTTCACCAGGGAAAGAAAACATAATCAAAGCCCTCCTGACAAAGAGCCATCCAGCCATAGATATAGACAGATAGATATGATCCACACCCACAGATATAGTATCCTAGATTTGAAAGGGACCCCTACAGAAGGACAATTATATGTTGCCTGTTCCAAAGTAGGCAAACCAGACTATCTCCACATCAACACTGACAAAGAAACAGCAAGAAATTTCAACAGAAAGGAGGAAACCATGAAGATGAACAAAATCTGGCTACCAGTATTAAAAAACTCTAAAATTAAAACAGCAAAACAGCAGAGGGAAAACAATCAGGGACATCTAATCACCTCTCAACAAAAGATTGCTCCAGGCACTGCCAGGCTATCAAATGCTAATCAAGGTGGTCAGTTGAAACATTCACAACCAGCTCCAGCAGACAAGAGTTCTTTGTCCCACCCTGGTCATTCCACAGATGTATAAACCCTTTTTCCTAGTTCCAACAGACTTCACTACCTCTGAGGATACTTGCCATAGATGCAGGTGAAACGTCAGGAGAGAATGCCTCTAGAACATGGTCATATAGCTTGAAAAAACCGACAACAACCCAGTGATTCCGGCCATGAAAGCCTTCGACAATACCGCAAGGAATACTGTTTACTCACAAAGCATAAAGAAATTACATATATAAGAAACCAACACTTTCTCATTACTTATATTTTCCAGATCACCAGACTGGGCCACAGCAACGCGTGGCAGGGGATGGCTAGTGTTGAATAAAATCAGGGGGAAATATACTGCAAGAGGAAAAATGAAAACTCCAAACGATGCCTCACCTGAGTGATTTCCCTGCAGGCAGCAGCCACCAACTGGAACGGCACCGACAAGCCGGACGCGAGAACGTAGAGAACCTCGGTGGCCGTCAGAATGGCCGCAAAGGTGTTGACGGTGGGCAGGAATTGTAGCGGGAGGCAGCAGAGGCGGGCGGTCAGAGGGAGCATGGGGGCAGCAAAGAGCCAGACCTGCTTGGTCCTCAGCAGGAAGGCGCAGAGAGTGGCCACGATGACCTGGCCTAGAAGGGAGACAGCGGTCAAGAAGGGCCTCAGAGGCACAGGGGACTTATTTATTTATTTATTTACAGTATTTATCTTCCCCCCCCTTCTCACCCCGCAGGGGACTCAGGGCGGATTACAGTGTACACACATATATGGCAAACATTCAATGCCAATTTGACATATAACGTATACAGACATAAACAGAGGCTATTTAACTTTTTCTGGCCGCCAGGGGAGCTCTCGCTTTCATCGTCCATCTGCGACACTGATGAAGCATTTCCGCATTCCCCTCATGCTTTTGCTGGAGTCTTTTTTATGACCTCATAAATTAGTTAATTTAGCCTCCCCACACAAGGTGGTACCTAATTTTCCTACTTGACAGATGCAACTGTCTTTCGGGTTGCAAAGGTCGACAACAGGCTACACAATTGGTTGGAAGCCCACTCCAACCCGGGCTGGCTTCGAACTCATGACCTTTAAGTCATGTCCAACTATGGGGGATGGTACTCATCTCCATTTTTAAGCCCAAGAGTCGGCATTGTCCGAAGACACCTCCAAGGTCATGTGGCCACTGGCATGACTTAATGGAGCACGTCACCTTCTCGCCGGAGCGGTACCTATTGATCTACTCACATTTGCATGTTTTTGAACTGCTAGGTTGGCAGAAGCTGGGGCTAACAGCAGAAGCTCACTCCACTCCCTGATTCAAACTGTCAACCTTTTGGTCAGCACGTTAAGCAGCTCAGCGATTTAACCCACTGAGCCACCGGGGCGGGGGGCATATTTATATTAGGACCCCATATTTGGCAGCGATTGGAGTTCAGGACCCCTTCTCTCAAGTAGGAAAACTGCCCTATCTTCTATCCATCCATCCAGTGTGTGTGTGTGTGTGTGTAATTTACCACTATATGTCAATTCTGCAGTTGTGTTTGGTATAAGTTTTCTCATATATACGTGTGTGTGTGTGTGTGTGTGTTTATCTATGTAATTTATCTATGTCAGGGGTCTTCAAACTTTTTAAACAGAGGGCCAGGTCACAGTCCCTCTAACTGTTGGAGGGCCAGATTATAATTTGAAAAAAAACACAAATGAATTCCTATGCACACTGCGCATATCTTATTTGTAGTGCAAAAAACACTTTAAAACAATACAATAATTAAAATGAAGAACAATTTTAATAAATATAAGCTTATTAGTATTTCAGTGAGAAGTGTGGGCCTGCTTTTGGCTGATGAGATAGGATTGTTGTTGTTCTGTGCTTTCAAGTCGTTTCAGACTTAGGTTGACCCCAAGCGAGGGCCAGGTAAACGACCTTGGAGGGCCGTATCTGGCCCCCGGGCCTTACTTTGAGGACCCCTGATCTAGTGTGTATGTGTAATTTACCACTACATGTCAATTCTGCAGTTATGTTTGGAATAACTTTTCTCATATATACATATGTGTGTGTGTTTATCTATGTAATTTATCTATATAATGTAGTAATTTACTGTATTTTTATGTTAATATGTGTTCTATTCTGCCTCAATCCATCAGGAGAGGTGGCTAATAAATAAAATGTATTATTATTATTATTATTATTATTATTATTATTATTATTATGTTGGTTGGTTTGAACCACAAAGGCTGGAGCCCCCGGTGGCGCAGTGGGTTAAACCCCTGTGCCGGCAGGACTGAAGACCGACAGGTCACAGGTTCGAATCCGGGGAGAGGCGGATGAGCTCCCTCTATCAGCTCCAGCTCCTCATGCGGGGACATGAGAGAAGCCTCCCACAAGGATGATAAAACATCAAAAAAATCATCCAGCGTCCCCTGAACGGCCAATTCTCTCACACCAGAAGCAACTTGCAGTTTCTCAAGTCGCTCCTGGCACGACCAAAAAAAAAAAAAAAACTCCACAAAGGCTCCTTCATAGCTTGGTGGATCTGGACAAAACCTGGCACACAGACCCTCCATTACCGAACTTAAAATAATTCAGGGGTGTAAATTTTTAAAAATTGCACTCCTTTTGAACCCAGAGCTTTTTTTTTTTTTTGTCCTGGTGTGAGAGAATTGGCTGTCTGCAAGGACGTTGCCAAGGGGACGCCTGGATGATTTGATGTTTTTATCATCCTCGTGGGAGGCTTCTCTCATGTCCCTGCATGAGGAGCTGGAGCTGATAGAGGGAGCTCATCCGTCTCTCCCCAGATTCAAACCTGCGACCTGTCGGTCTTCAGTCCTGCCAGCACAGGGGTTTAACCCACTGTGCCACCGGAGGCTCCTAGAGCTGAGGGAAATAAAAGTAACACATTGGATTGGCTGTGGCAAGGTGAAGTGGTCCTTTGTCAAATGGGAGTGGATTGGCGGCTAGGTGAAGAAAAAGAAAGGAAGCAGAAGAAAGAGAGGGAGAAAGAAAGAAAAAACAACAACAGAAAGAAGAGAAAAGGGGAAAAGAGCAAAGGGAGGGAGAGAAGGAAGGAAGGAAGGAGGGGAAGCAAGGAAGAAGGAAAGAAAGTAAGAAAAGGGAGGGAGGTGTATGAGAGAAATGGAGGAAGGAAAGAAAGGGAGCCTGCCTACCCTTACCATGAAGACATTGAGAGGTAGGCCTTCTCTGAGCTGGAGAAGGGAGAAAGCAGGCAGGCAGTGGTCTCTCTGATACGCAGGCAATGCCGGGTATATATGCTAGTGTGTGTCTGTGTGTGCATATATACAAAATCTGGGGGATCCAGTGTGAAGATATGTGTTCTACCTCTGAACTGCAGTCTGCTTGGTTCCATATAAACTCATTTTCCCTTCCTTACAAAGCAATTACTTTTACATCATCCGCCTTCTCCACCATGGGCAACTGAGACTTGGGAAGCCAAGGCACAGCAGACGTTAATGCATGTCATCGGCCCAATTGCTCTGCCCCTTTCTCACTTGTGAGTGCAGTCGCAAAACGTCCCAGTGCGACTGGATCCTGGTAGACTGCGCCGTAGAATTCGTGCTCCATCTCGTGACGGATGTAGTCCCTGGGAATGGAGACAAGGAAAATGCTTTCCAGGAGAAGAGCCAAAAGCGACAGATGTGAGAACAAGAGTCCATACTGCAGGGCTGGAAATTAGGCATCCTTCCAGGTGTTGCCAAAATACAATTCCCAGCATTTTTCACTAAAGGTCTATTGGGAACAGTAGTCCAGAAATACCTGGAGGACTGCATGATTCATAGCTATCCAAATGCAAAAAGTAGTATTGATATTGTAGCATTAATAGCACCATGTAACATGATTTTTGTTCCTGGGTAATAAATGGCATTTCGTAATTGGTTCTATCATGATGACCATATTACTTATTTTTTATTTATGATATTTATATGCCGCCCTTCTCACCCCGAAGGGGACTCAGAGCAGCTTAGAAGTTATATGTGCATGCAATATATCATGTTATTAGCATAGTACAATATTAGTATTACTATTTTGTAATATGCCACTATTCTATAATATTATTAGTAATATTACATGTGATATGAAATATAAAATTATTGTATTGTATTATTATTATATTGCATTACATTATAATATTAGCACAACATAATATTAGTATTATATATTATTATATTTTACTATGCCACTATAATGTAATATTAAAAGTAATATTACATGTAATATGAAATATAAAATTATTGTATTGTATTATTATTATATTTTATTACATTAAAATATCATGAAAATTATATGTGTATACAATATATTATAATATTAGCACAGCATATTAGTATTATATATTATTATATTTTACTATGCTACTATATTGTAATATTATTAGTAATATTACATGTAATATGAAATATAAAATTATTGTATTGTATTATTATTATATTGTATTACATTAAAATATTATGACTATTATATGCGTATAGAATATATTATAATATTAGCACAGCATAATATTAGTATTATATATTTTTATATTGCCACTACAATGCCACTATATTGTAATATTATTAGTAATATTACATGTAATACAAAATATAAAATTATTATATTGTATTATTATTAGTATTATATTGTATTACATTATAATATGAAAATTATATGCGTATACAATATATTATAATATTAGCACAACATAATATTAGTATTATATATTATTATATTGTACTATGCCACTATATTGTAATATTATTAGTAATATTACATGTAATACAAAATATAAAATTATTATATTGTATTATTATTAGTATTATATTGTATTACATTATAATATGAAAATTATATGCGTATACAATATATTATAATATTAGCACAACATAATATTAGTATTATATATTATTATATTGTACTATGCCACTATATTGTAATATTATTAGTAATATTACATGTAATATGAAATATAAAATTATTATATTGTATTACATTATATTATGAATATTATATGTGTATACTGTACATTATAATATTAGTACAGCATATTAGTATTATATATTATTATATTGTAATATGCCACTATACTATAATATTATTAGTAATATTACATAAAATGTGAAATATAAAATTATTATATTGCATTACATTACAATATTATGAAAATTATATGCATATACAATATATTATATTAGCACAGCATATTAGTATTATTTATTACTATATTGTACTATGCAGTTATATTGTAATATTATTAGTAATATGACATGTAATATGAAATATAATATTATACTTTATTACATTATAATATTATATTTCATATTACATGCGTACACAATATATTATAATATTAGCACAGCATATTAGTATTATATATTATTATATTGTATTGCGCCACTATATTGTAATATTATTAGTAATATTACATATAGTATGAAATATAAAATTATTATGTTGTACTATTAGTAGTATTACATTGTATTACATTATAATATTATCAATATTATATGTGTATACAATATATTATAATATTAGCACAGCACAATATTAGTATTATATATTACAATACTGTTGCTGGGGAGAGGGGCTCCCAACTGATGACCCCGGAGACATGGTGGAACTCCTTCGCTCTGAAATTATTATTAATTGGATCTAACGCGCATCTAAATTTTGGGTGAGGTAATTTAGCCAAAAAAGGGTGAGCATTAGATTTGAGTAAATAGGGTAAATCACCCAGGTCTCATTTCGTTAAATTCTTAACCTTTTAGAATCATAGCAATGGAAGAGACCTCAAAGGCCATCCAATCCAACCCCCTATGACTATGCAGGAAGACACCATCAAAGCGCTCCTGACAGATAGCCATCCAGACTCACAGAATCATAAAATCATAGAGTTGGAAGAGACCACATGGCTCATCTAGTCCAACCTCCTGTCAAGCAGGAAAAGCACAAAATAACCCTGATAGATGGCCATCCAGCCTCTGTTTGAAAGCTTCCAAGGAAGGAACTTTCAGCACTGCTTAAAAATCTCCAGAGAAGGAGGCTCCACCATACTCAGGGCCACTCACTCCTTTTCGAATGCAAAGACCACTTGCATATCCTCTGAGACCCTTCCATATTGGGATGCCCATTCTGTGAGCGTCCAGTTCTCCAAGGGAAGGGTCCGGCCCCTTACCAGGCAGTCTGGTGACCCACGTAAAGCAGGAGGACGGTCAGGAGGTAGAGGTACATCTTCACCAGGGAACGGACGGGAAGCAGCAGGACCACCACACAAATCACGTGGCCTAAAGGAGGAGGAAAAAGAAAGAGGAAGCACATTGACACCTGTCTGCTTCACTGACTAGAGGAGCCAGGTAAGATTCGTATGTGGCTTCTACACCAATTGTGTCCCAGCAAGCTGGCTGTGACTTTTAGCCTCTCCATGTATAAGAGTCTTCCATGAGTTCCGGTCATCAATTGTCATGCTCAGCTCTGTTAATAAAAGTTTCACAAAGTTTTACAAAGGGTTTACGTGTGTGTGTGTTTTCCTCCTCATCCTCTCTGGCTAGAAGGTTGTCTCTTTTGGCAGCATCAGCATTAGGAAGAGGGTGGAGGGCTGGGGAAATAATACGAGGGTTGAATGAAAAGTAATGCCTCCACCATCGTAACTCCTCAGCAGATAGCAGTACTGGTATGTGGTAGATACTGGCTTGTTCAGTAGACTCTCCTCTACAGTTCCATTTTGGCGAGAAGCCTTAGCATTGAACGGTTGTATTGTTAAAGTGCCAAGTATGGAACCCTGCGCAGATGGTCAGTCAATACGACATAATCATAATAATAAAATAATAATAATAATAATAATAATAATAAAACTTTATTTATACCCCGCCACCATCCCCCCCAATGGGGAGTCGGAGTGGCTTACATGGGGCCAAGCCCGAACAACAAACTACAAAACAAAAATACAAATTGTAGTAAAACAAACAACATAACAATAAAGTATAAAACGTCAAAGCATATAAACAGTATACACAGAACATAGAAACTAAAACATAATGACAGGGAGCGGGCTGCATGTACATAAAATGATTTAAAAAACTGATTTAAAAACTCAGGGTGAGATAGTAATAATAATAATAATAATAATAATAATAATAATAATAATAATAAAAACCCTTTATTTGTACCCCGCTACCATCTCCTCAAGGGACTCGGTGCGGCTTACATGAGGCCAAGCTCATAGCACATCAATAAACAAAGGCGATAACAAATAATCAATACAAAACAGTTAAAATAAAATAAATAAAATAAAAACTCAAAAACAAAAAAATACACAATAAGCAATAACAATAATACACAGCATTTAAAAACCAATAAAGGGGCAGAACTGTTTGTAGGGGAGAACTCATAGAGAAACAGAAAAATAAACAAACCTTTGTACGGTGGGGGTGGGGGGGGGGAGAACTCCTGGGGCAAGCAACGTGCAGTCATTGAATTCTTGACAGCAGAAGGTGTCACCTCAACATCTTTAAACTTAGTCGCCCAATGACGCACAGTACTCACATCAACACAATCATCATAAACAGCTTGCATTCTCTGATGAATCTCCTTTGGAGTGACACCTTCTGCTGTCAAGAATTCAATGACTGCACATTGCTTAAGTTGCACTGACCAACTGTCTGCGCAGGGTTCCATACTTCACACTTTAACAACACAACCGTTCAATGCTAAGGCTTCCCACCAAAATGGAACTGTAGAGGAGAGTCTACTGAACAAGCCAGTACCTGCCGCATACCAGCACTGCCATCTGTTGAGGAGTTATGAAGGTGGAGGCATTACTTTTCATTCAACCCTCGTACATTCTCCTCTCATTCTAACACAACTGATTACAGGCTGGCTATCCCTTATCCTATACGCTTGGGGCCAGGTGTTTCGGATTAGTATGTACACATGTATTTGCATATTTATACATAATGAGATAATTTGGAGGTGGGACCCAAGCCTGAACATGACATTTGTTTATGTTTGATGCATATCTTTTACACACAACTTGTATATGATGCTTTAAGGAACTGTGTGCTTGAAACAAAGTGCAGTCCAGGCATTTTGGATAAGAGATATTCAACCTGGACTAGTGACCTTTTGGACTACAGCTCCCAGCATCCCAAATCAGCACATTTGTTGTGGGATTATGGGAACGACTGTCCAAAGAGTGATAAACAGCCTACCGGCTGTTAGGAATTGTGAGAGTTGGAGTCCAAAACACCTGGAGGGCCAAAGTTGGCCCATGCCTGGTACACTGACCATATAACACAGAGCCAAGCTTACCTGCGTAGTAGATATTCCACAGGTGATGCCTCTGTAGGTAAAGCTGATGGGCGTTGGGCCGCAGCCCCTCAGAAAAGGCCTGGACGTCCCAGCGGTAGAGCAGGTCCAGCAGGACGATGCTGGGCACCCGCAGGACCACGTTGGCTAGCTTCTCCAGCTGGGAGGCCATGGTCGAGACCCAAAACAGCAACAACCTGTTTCCCTTTTCTCTGACTCCCCTCAGGAAAGCACAGCGGGGGGTCTCCCTCCCCCTCAAGGGACCCCGCTTTTGGGAAGGGTTCTGGCCTTAAACCAGGAGAGTGGCAAATATTGGGGGGCAGGAGAAGCACCAGAAAAGAAAACAAAAGGATTTAGGGGAAGACGTAAACAGTGGGTGCTTCAAAGGGTATGTAAACAAATCAGAATGGAGGTTGCAAAATGGGGAGGGAGGTGGGAGAAGTCTGGGGTCAAGGCTTCCTAGAGGTCAAGGAATCAAATTGAGTGCTTTATAGGATTTGGAAATGGAAATAAAGGGGTTCAAATTCACCAAAAATGAGGGGTGAGGTCAATATTTGGGGGGGGGGGATTCTGCATTCAAAGCTTTTTGGGAGTGTCAAGGAATTCAATCAGATGCTTTATAAGGTTTCGAAAAGGAAATAAGAGGCTTCAACGTTATCAAAATTGGGTTTTTTTTCAAAATTTGGGGGGAGTCTGCATTCAAAGCTTTCTGGGGGGGGGTCAAGGAATTCAATCAGATGCTTTATAGGGTTTCGAAAAGGAAATAAGGGGGTTCAAAGTTATAAAAATGGGTTTTTTTTCCAAAATTTGGGGGGAGTCTGCATTCAAAGCTTTCTGGGGGGGGGTCAAGGAATTCAATCAGATGCTTTGTAGGGTTTTGAAAAGTAAATAAAGGGTTCAAAATTATCAAAATGGTTTTTTTTCAAAATTTGGGGGGAGTCTGCATTCAAAGCTTTCTGGGGCGTGTCAAGGAATTCAATCAGATGCTTTGTAGGGTTTTGAAAAGGAAATAAGGGGGTTCAAAGTTATAAAAATGGGGTTTTTCCAAAATTTGGGGGGAGTCTGCATTCAAAGCTGGGGGGGGGTCAAGGAATTCAATCAGATGCTTTGTAGGGTTTTGAAAAGGAAATAAGGGGGTTCCAATTTATCAAAATGGGGGTGTCAAAAAATTTTGGTGGGGGAGTCTGCATAAAAGGCTATGTAGAAATTAAATATTGGGGGAAGTGAGGGACTCAGCAGACCTAAAGAAAAAGTAGGTTCAGAGGTTAGAGGTCAATATATCATTCAGGAAAGTAAACTTAGGAAGTTTTCTTTTTTCTTGAAAAGAAGGGGAGACTTTGGGGTGAAAATAAGCACCAGAAAAGAAAGCAAAAGGGAAAAGTGTAAAGAGAGGGTGCTTCAAAGGGTCTGTAAACAAATCAGAATGGGGATTTCAAAATTGGGTTTCACAATTGGGGGAAAAAGTCTAGAGTCAAGGCTTTCTAGGGGCCAGGGAATCCAACTGGATGCTTTATAGGGTTTGGAAATGGAAATAAGAGGGTTCAAATGTACCAAAATTTGGGTTTTTTTTCTCCAAAAGCGGGGTTCAGAGGTTGGAGGTCAATATATCATTCAGGAAACGAAACTTGAGAAGTTTTTATTTCCTGCAAAAAGTGTGACGACGACGACTTTGGGGTGAAAACAGAGGCGCCGGATTCGATCGTGAGCAAGTATAAGGGATCCTTTGCATATATTATAATTATAGATCAGCTATGGGGTTGCTTCTAATCCTGTCTAAAATTATTGATACTCAACTTAGACACAGAAATGAATTCTTTAATGAATTTGCAGAAGTCTTGAAGCAGAAAAGCATTCTATTGCTTGT